CTGCTTCCCCATGAGTCTGCATGGCAGGACAACTGATATTACATGAACTGAGATGCAGAGATTGATACTATTGAGGTCTCAAAGACAGTACTTAGCTCAACTCTGCCTGACAGCAAGATCTTTATGTACAAGACAGTGTTGCCTCTAAAGTCACGTTTATAATCTAAACCTCAAACTTTTCAAATATAAAGGAAAGGAATTTTGCAAAATTGGTGTTTTATGCCATAGAAACTGAGGGATTCTCTGACATTCGCTCAGAAGTCACTTTAAGAAGGAATCTCAAGGAAATAAGGGTCCAGATAATTCCCTACCTGTGGGGGGAGGTGTGTGTGTGTGTGTGTGTGTGTGTGTGTGTGTGTGTGTGTGTGTGCAATAAATGCACCAAGCCATTCAGAGCAACACCACTTTGACATGCCTTTTAGTTTGGCTGGCTTGTCATGCTTGATTGAAGTAAAGATTCGGCTTTTACTAAAACACGTTTGGGGACCACAATTGATTAACTGGTCTTTAAGGCTCCTCTTAATTTAATATCTAGTATTCCTTCACTCTTTAATTCAGAGTTGTAAAGTTAGAAAAAACTGTCCTAACTCAGTCATTTAGAGTAACCTTCAGGTTCACCTTACTGTCTCTGTTCTAAAAAAAAAAAAAAATCTGATGCCTTTGAAAGAGAAGTTGATGCCTAAGTTCTAGTGATCTAACTCAATTTGAAAAAGTGTTCCACTGCCTTTGATGACAACCTTAACCCAGGTCAGTAGGAAGCAGCGCAGTCTTGTACATTTTTCTCTTGTGGTCACCATGACTTGAGAGTTCCAGCTGGTCAGATGAAAGAGATGTAGCTCTAGAAGTTCATTTACAACTGATAGTTTGAACTGAGGTCCTTCCTCTGTTCATTTAATCTCCTCATCTTTTTGCCTTGTTCATGTGTTCCAAACAGGTGGTGGACCGAAAAGAAATGACACAATGTCTGTGTTGGCAATAAATGAGTGAATTTATTTACTCCATCAAGTTCTACCTTTCCCCTATCTGCATTCTACATGTTGCAAAATATTGATGTTTAGATGTTAGTCTGGCAGGCATCTTGATAAACGTATGTAATGCTACATTTTCCCTCACCACAACAGCACAGACCCCTTTAAAAAGCTACATATGTTGGAAAGAAAAAAGCCAAGTATTAATCATGGTGATGGTGAGCATATCTTTTTTATTTTCCCAGCTGAGGCTTGAATGCATGCAAGAACATGTTCTCCTGCTGGGCTACATACATTCCTGGCCCCTTATCATATCTTTTCAAAAACAACTTATTGAGATCTACCTTACATATCATGAAATGTACTCATTTTAAATGTACAATTCAAATATATTAAGTGAATGTACAAGTTGTATGCCTATTCACACATCCAATTTTCGAACACTTCTATTACTTTCACCCTAATTTGTCACCCCAACTCTAGGCAATCACTAAATTAGCGTCTTTTTAAAATAGATTCACTTTTTCTAATAGTTTCATTAAATGGAAACATATAAGAATGTGGTATTCTGTGAGTTTTAACTAATCATGCTCTTAATGAGATGCATCCATATGTCAACATGTTTCTGAACTTCATTTTCTACACAGTACTTTTTTGAATGTCAGTTTTCTACAGAGGTGATTCTGGATTTCAGAAACAAGCCAACGTGGCAATAAATTGGGGCTGTGTCACATCTTAGGCATGTGACTTTAGGTAATTCTTTAATTTTGCTGGAACTCATTTGTAAAATGAGGAAAATGAGTGTTTTCAGAGAATTTATGCTACAAATGCAGTCAAATACCGAGCATTTAAAAATCCACTTTATCTCTGTATTCCCAAGAACCTAGGTGCTTCTAATGTCTGTTTCAAATTTTAAGATGAATCCTACAGTCTCCCAACCAGTCTTTTATCAAGTTTGAAATGAGATCCAGCATAACTAGAAACATCAGGAACAGAGTTCCTCTAAGGGAATTGCATCCTACATTAATGGAGCCCAGATGTTGAGGAGCTAAAGGAATTTCCTACAATAATATTGCTGTCACTTTTGAGAAAGATTACATTGTATTTAACTTTTTTTATATAAAGGAGGAAAATGTTCAAGTTCTACGGTAACTTTGCTGGTCTGTCAGAACACACTGATTCTAACTCTTAAAAGTCAACCCTCAAACAACATACAAGCAAGTAGTAAATGACTACAACCATCCCCACCTAAGAATGTAAAAAAAAATCTACCTCAAATGCTTGACACTAAGCTTTTAGAGATAGATTTACTGTCTTTACTAAACCTTTAAACGAACCTGAATTCTTTGTGGTAACAAAATACTTCCAATTCCTTGTTCCCTTGTTTATTTCTCCAATCTGCCTTCTCTGATTAGAACTCACTCATCTGAGTTCCATCTTAAAGGAATCCTGGATATAACCCCAGAGTATACTCCTAGAACAAAATTCACAGAGATATTCCTCTATAGCCCTCTAATTTTCATCTGAATCTTTGTTTCTCTACATTTTTTTTCTTTTGAGCCATATCCAGGGGTGCTCAAGGCTACTCCCAGCAATTTTGGGGGGCCATATGGTGCTAGGGAGCGAACTAGGACTCCTACATAACTCTGATATCTTGAGCTCTCCTCCCAGCTCTCTCTACAGTTTTTATTCCACTACTATTTATTTCCCTTCAAGTTTCTGTTTTTTTTCTGTTATTCCCCCCACTTTCTGTCTAGGATTGATCACAGATGTGATCAAATTCTTTCCCCAGTACTTAATTTCCATCTGGACCATAGAATAATTCCTAAATCCACTTCCTATTAAGAAAAATAGAACTTTGGGTCCGGAGAAACTGTACAACATATAGGACACTTGCTTTGCATGCAGCCAACCTGGGTTTAACCCATTGAACCTCATAAGAACCCCTGCCCCTATTCCACCAGAAATAAACCCTGAGCACCACCAGATTGTCCCCAAAACAAAACAAACAAAAAAGACAGCTTACTCAGAAAAAGGATAAAGCATCCCATATTTCTAATAAATAAAACAGAATCGGGCTGGAGTGAGAGCACAGCGGATAGGGCATTTGCCTTGCATGCGGCCGACCAGGGTTCAATTCCCAGCATCCCATATGGTCCCCTGAGCACCTCCAGGGGTAATTCCTGAGCACAGAGCCAGGAGCGACCTCTGTGCATTGCCGGGTGTGACCCAAAAAAACAAATAAATAATAAATAAATAAAACAGAATCATAACATATTTTATCACTTTGAGATTAACACACTCTTCTTTAATGATTTAAAATGCTCTACTTCAGGTGTATGCTTTATTAAGAGAGGCAGCATTTGTCTTATTAATCATTATATACCAGTAATAGTCATAATCCATTTACTGATGTTCATTAAAGATAGCAATGAGTGATTCTTTCAAATGGTTAGATGTGATACGTGCATGTAATCAATTTGTAGCACTATCAGGTGAATCTGAGAAAACTTGAATTTCTATTATGATAATGATATACAAAGAGTCAAAATTAGTTTCTGATCTTCATGTATTCTTTTAATATTGCTATTTCATGTGCAAATAATGTTTTATCCTATTTTATTATTGATCTAAATCCTCACCCTGTGAGTGGGAAAGTCAGGTGCATAAACAGGTTTCTCAGCAGGTAACTAAGGCAGGATCTCCGAGCGACGCATTCTGGAAACTGGGCAAAGATGAATAGGCCATAACTCATAAGTTTTGATTCAGGAAAGCATAGAAGGATCAGGACCACCAGTTACCTAGGTCAGAGGGGATATGGGGCCCTGAAACAATTAATAGATATCAATAAACAAAATGTACTAAATGGAAAGATTCCTAGCTATAAGGAAACTCTCTTTGAATCCATCTAAAAAGGTGATTTGTGACAAAGTAACCAATACAAAAACTTTATTCTTATGCCCTTCTTAACTTTGTCTTGTCATTTGCTATGATTTCTAGAAAAAAATCCTATAAAAGTGCTCTGAAGGTATATTCTGGGCCATAGCTCCAAACCAGTTTGTCTAGCTGTAGTTTTTCTAGGCATTAATAATAATATCTCCTTGTTTTTTTCACCTAAACAAAGTTTCAGTGTGATTAATTAAGCAAACTCTGTTACAACCATAAATCTATACTTATACAAATGAACAAAGGTTTATCTAACTGAAGCAAACACTTAGATGAATGTAAAGATACCCTTGTTTCCTATCTCAATTTACTTATCTGAAATGGGAACAGCTAACAAATTATATGACTTGGGAAAAAGCAGATAGGTCTCAGGAAAGAAGATTTTACTCTTCATTATTATCCAAAATAATCTTGGAAATTCACAAATGTGATATAAATAAAAACAATTGAGGGGCATTAACAGATTCGATTTACTTAGACCTGTGAATTTCCATCATCTTTCTTGTGTGAAACATTCCCTTTTATATAGTGAAGAAAAGTAATTTATACTAGAACCTTATTTATGGCATTCTTTTATAAGCAGTATCACAGAAATTTATCTCATAGTTTAGTAAACCTAGGAATTAGTAAAGATTTCTCTCTACTGCACAGGCCTTTTCTGTAGTAGATGTTTATCAGCAGATGACAAAGTAATCTTGAGACATGGTGATTTTTATTCAGTTTGATGCCCAAGCATTCTGCAAAACAAAAAAAAACACCTTAACTCCAAATTCCCCCCCCCCCATGTGGTCCGTATATTTAAAGTTGATTTTGGGGGGGAAATAAAGGTTACGACCCAAGTCTTCAAAAATAGCGCTAAATCTATCTATGCTGTCTAAACATCTACAAAAGTATCCCACAACTTTTTGAATCGCGATTTGCCTGTAGTTTGTTTATAGCTCTCAAAAGAATTCTGATCTCGGGTAACCGGTTGAAATACTTTTTTTTTTTCAGAGATCACTTTCTGAGGTCTTGGCAACCGTAAATATGTCAGTTTCTGTGCATCATCGCGTATAAAACGATCAAAGAACGCAAAGCTTCTCCTACCCTGAGATTGCAGCAAGTTTTTGGTGCGCCTGCCGGGCCATTTCACAGCCTTTGGTCCTGGTCTTGTGCATTTCCGCCCGGAGTGAGGGGCAGCTGACAGAGACATCCCCAATAGAAATGACCAGCTCTCGGTACAGGGCCACTTGTGTGTTGAACTCTTGAACAAGCTGGAAAAGAATGAGTTTGTCTCATGACACCCTTAGCAGTCTTTTGCAATGTCCTATAGGTAAGCCAGAACTTTTTTACTGACCCCAGCCGCCACCTCCAACCTCCCACGGGGGAGACGGCGCTGTTCCCAAGATCGGGGCACGAAGATGTTAAATTTGCTTTGTAAAACGGGGCAAGTTTTACTTTCCCACGGGTAAATTTGCTCCTGCGAACTGTTTCCAGACCTCCTTGCCCCCTCAACCCCAACCCTGCAGGCTCAGTTGTGGAAGAGCAAAACACATATTGCCACTCCCAGGTCCCTAGAGAACGGTCCTGGGGACTCCGGCACCGGACGCTCTTTTCTACACACCTCCGGAGGGATTTGAAACCGCCCGGGGACAGTGAGCGGAGAGAGGCCGCAAATGACGGACCGATCACCGCCGCCGGACAGAACCGCTCGGGTCCCGGGTCCCAAGCCTGACCGGAAGACGAGCCAGAACCTTCGCACCGGGCCGGCGTCCCCCGCAGAGCCCAGGGCGCTCCGTTCGGCTTGCTCGCTCCGGTCTCCCCAGAAGCCAGCCCCCGCCACCTCTCCCACCCCTCCTTCCCGGCGATTCAGCCAATCCACCGCTTCTTTCGCACCCACCGTTCTCTAAGGGGCTAGAAGCATGACCTAGAGCTGCAAACCTAGAGACCCTAGACCGTGGCACTTCTTGAAGTGGGGGGTGGGGGTGGGAGTGGGGGATCAATAGGACCAGGTTTCAGCCTGTTTGGGGGAACTGCACGTTTAAAAATAGTGCATGTGCACGTGATCGGCATGGAGGCGCCGAGGGTGGGGGAGTGGCTGGTACTCAGACGATTAACATACACAATCCCCCCACCCCCTCCCGAAGGGAGGGGGGGGAGAGAGAGGGGGGGGAGAGAGGGAGAGGGAGAGGGAGAGAGGGAGAGGGGGAGAGGGGCGCAGTTTTCAACCTACCATCTTGCAGTCGTCCAGGGTCCTTTGGGCTTTGTGGGCGCCCTCCGAGCCGCTGCCCCTGCGCTCCCAATCTCCGCCCTGCAGCGGAGGCTTGCTGATCTGGAAGATCGAGGAGCGGGCGGACCGACCCGGGCGCTTCTTGCGCCCATTCGGTGCAGAACTCATGCATACACATCCACCAAGCCGAAGCCGCTGGTGCAGTGCGCCCCGGCGCGGGCGGCCCGGTGGTTGCCCTGCGCGCCGCGCCGAGCACGGGAGCCGGGGCGGGAGGCGCGCGGCGCTCACAGGCTTGGGGCTGGCTGCGCGGGCGGGTAACCTTCAGCCTGAAGGAGAGTCGGGGCCGCGCTGGCCGCGCTGTGCAGCATCGCTTCCTCTAGCAGCGAGGAAGGGGCTCGATTAAGTTCTGCTCAGCAGCGTTGCCGGCGCTGTCCCGGGAGCGGCACGCTGGAGGGAGCTCGCACCGCTGTCCCCTCGGCATGGACGGCAAGCCTGGACCAGAAGGAACGCGCCCGGCGGTCCCGAGTTTCCATTCAGACGGGGAAGCAGTTTTCAAAGCCTGCTTCTGCAAGGGGAGGGGGCGAGGGAGGGGAGAGCGGTGGTGGAGAGGCGTCGCGCTGGCTTCGGCGTCTTCCCGCAGCGGCACTCGGCTCTCTTTCCCCACCCTCCCCTGCCACCAGGCCTGGAAGGCTGGCGGTCCCCCAGCAGGCAGTTGGATCTAATTGGCTGCCTTGAACCGACGTCTCTACGGGCTCGTCTGTTTGAGGATCCCAAATGAATCCGTGGCGGGACTGGCAGACGCAGGGAGCAGGTCTGGCTGACGTTGTTCGCGGCCCGGAACATTGATAGGACGGGAATACTAATGTGATCCGTCCACACAGCCCCCTTCCCCCCTCCACAGTTTATGCACTTATCCAATCAAATCCCCGGGAACATCAATTGCAATATTACTTCATCTGCTCTATTATTAGAAATGAAAAGTGTCATCAGAGCGGAGCACATTGCCACATGCTGGGACCCAAACACGTACTTTTAACCAGCCATCATGGGCATTGGGCCCGCATCATCCTGACTGTCTGGGGCCACGGATCGAAGGCCAAAACAGGAGGGAGGGAGACCATCGTTTCAAAAGGGAGATGTTCGGATAGCAAGAAAGAGTAAGGGAGGAGAAGCTTTCTTTGGCAGTTGTGGTTGTGTTTTTGCCCTTGTTCACTGAGTGTGAGAGGAGCCAGTAGCTGAATGCACAGCCTCATCCTACCCTGCTCTCATCAGGATGGTCCTGAGAACCACCCGATGAATTTCCCAGTAGGGGTTTGAACACCTGAGAACTGACAGGCCTCCCTCAGCAGCAAAATGGCTTCTTCTCCTTTACCAGCCATGGAGTGACTCAGAGACATCAGTGACTCAGAGGCTAATGAGGCAACCCACAAGTACAGGTAAAGTCCATAGGAGGGAGGTGGAAGTGAGGTCCTGAGCCACTGAAGTCCACTCTTGCCAACTGACACCTGAAGATTCTGGAAAACCAAAGAGGCAGGCTGGGTACTCAGCACCAAGACTCTGAGCATGCCTATTCCTTTATGAGTGCTTCATTTGGAAGTGACAGATGGCCAGGTTTGCCACAGGGGAGCCTATGAGTTGCAAAAAAATCAAATTAGCAAACAGAGGTTCCTGGTCACTCACTTAAGGGGATATAGAGTTCTGAGAGAGAAAAAGATCAAGCCAACAAGGCTAACACTCTAAAGAACTGTCCCTAGTTTTTTTTTTACAAGACAGGTAAATACCAATAGAACTGAGGGGTTGGGGTGGTGGGGAGAAGAAAAAGATCATGGGAAATTGGTGGAGGGATCTTGAGGCACTGGTGGAGAGACTGGTATTGTATACTGCAAATATAAAATAATTATTTCAATATTATAATAAACTATAATACTTCAATTTTAAAATTAAAATAAAGGGGATGAAGATGTTCACCCAGTACTCAAATCTCAGAGTTCATTCAATATGATTTGGAAGAGTAAAACCAGAAAAGCGGGTAAACACAAGGACTGGTGCAGTATAATACTTTGCTCCCAGTAACCATAGTAAAACAGTGATATTTGGTTTTGGTTCTCAGATATAGGAGCAAGGTTCTTAAAACCCTAGAAAGTTCATGAATATAGGTGAATGGAGTTTCTGATTATATCAATGACTAAGCCTTGATTAGAAGTTTAAACCAACTTCCAACTTCTGGGGCAATAAAGAGGTAGGGATCAAGTCAGTCATGAATAGTCAATGATTTGATCAAGTTTGCCAAAGTAATGAAACATTTATTTAAAAAAAAACCTAAATGGTGAAAGGGGAGAGAAAATAAGGTACTTGCTTTCTGTGAGCCTGGTTCAGGTTTGACCCCTGACTCGCTATGGCCCTTGAGCACCACCAAGGAGTGAGCCCTGAACACAGAGCCCAGTAGCCCCAGAGCATTGCCAGGTGTGACCCTGCCCCCCAAGTCCTAAATGATGGTGTTCAGGAAGCTTCAGGGTAGCTGCAGATATATTTCGTTGGTTGATGGGGAAATGGCATGCCCTGTAGACACGGAAGACCAGCACTCTCTTTTTCATACCTTACATTTGAACATCTCTTCCATTGTCTATTCCTGATTTGTATCATTCCTAATAAGTGGATAAGTAAGCACTTTTCCCAGTTCTATGAATCATTCCTGTACATTTCAAATATCAGGTGATTATTTGAAGGAATTTCCAAATTTATAGTTATATTAGATAGAAGCTTGGGTAAACTAGGGATCCAACCTCTGGTGGATGATATATTGTGGTTGAGGACAGTCTTGTGGGCCTGGGTCCTTAGTCTGTTAGGTCTGGTGCTAATGCTGGAGGGTTAGTATCAGAATTAAATTGAATTGATGAAAGCCAGGAAAACAGTGTTGAAAATGACACTATATAGTTCACTGTCACTGTCACTGTCTTCCCGTTGTTCATCGATTTGCTTGAGCGAGCCCAGTAATGTCTCCATTGGAGACTTTGTTGTTACTGTTTGGCATATCGAATATGTCACGGGTAGCTTGTCAGGCTCTACCGTGTGGGCTTGCCGGGCTCTCCGAGAGAGGCGGAGGAATCGAACTCGGGTTGGCCATGTTGGCTGCATGCAAGGCAAACGCCCTACTGCTGTGCTATCACTCAAGGAGGAGAAAATAACTCAACTGATAAATATCAGTCAATTGTATTCCTCGTCAATGTTGTCAACAATGGCATCTTCCCATGTTGCCACAATAGTGCCAAAGAGCTCCCAGTTGGTGGTCGTTCTGGGAGTTCTTTTCTTAAATTTTGCAGCCCTTTCTCTCCGTTCTGTGAAGAACAATTTTGCATGAAGGAGATGGTGGTCCGATCCCATTTGAAATTTTGGGACAACAGCGACATCGGTCAGGCAAAACCGTCGATTGAATATGATGTGGTCTATTTCGTTGTGGAATCGTCCACCGGGAGACTCCCATGTCCAACGTGTAGATTTGGCCTTCTGGAACTGTGAGTTACCATGGATGGTCTTGGTCGACATGATGAACTCAGACAGTCTCTCACCCTGTTCGTTCCATTCTAGGCCATGGGTCCTGATGTGAAGTTCTTCAGCTGATCTTCTCGGTCCTATCTTGGCATTAAAATCACCCATAATGATCTTGTAGAAGGTGTGGTCTTCTTTATAGAACTTCTCCAGCTCCATGTAGAACTTCTCAATTTCTCCTTCATCATAATGAGATGTTGGTGCGTAGACAATGAAGATAGAAACTGCCGGCAGTGAGCCACATCTATTCAAACGTAAACGTCTGATTCAGGCATTCGAATGAATCAATGCTCATGGCCAAGTTTGTGTTGACAAGAACACCGATGCCTCCGACACCTCTTTTATCGCATGTTCCGAGGAACAACATGGGAAGATGTCATTGTTGACAACACTGATGAGGAATATGATCAACTGGTTCAGCACCTCCATAATTGTGCGAGGAATGCCAAGAGAGAGATAGCCACAAAAAAAAGCCTGTCTTCAAAAACTCTTGAACTTATTCGCCAACGTGGTTTGGCGCATGCCTCAGGCAACCGCAAGCGAAAGTCCGAGTTTGCAAAGCAGTGCAGAGATGCGATCAAGGAAGACCTCAAAGAGAGAAGAGTAGAAGTGCTGGTAGATGCTGCAGAAGCCGGGAAAAGTATTGGTAATGCCTGCCTGTCCTTTGCCAAATACAAGACCAAGATGACTGCCCTCCGACGTCCTGATTGATCTATCACATCTTCCAGAATGGCAATGGAGAAGATTATCCATGACTTCTACTCAAATCTCTTCGATAGCCATGTCCACTTGCCGACATACCAAATTCCACAGGATGGATATGTTGTTCCCAATGTTCTCCCTTCTGAAATTCGACACGTCATTTCGTCAGTAAAGAAAAAAACAGCACCCAGCCCAGACAAGGTCAGACCTGAACACCTGAAGAACCTGTCGTCAGTACTCATCAATATGCTGACTCTGCTCTTCACACGCTACCTGTCTGAATGCAAAGTTCCATCCCAATGGAAAATCAGCAGGACTGTACTACTGTAGAAGAAGGGAGACTTTCATGACAATAGCAACTATCACCCGATCTGCCTATTGTCTGTCATCTACAAGTTGTTCACTCGAGTCATCCTAAATAGGATTGGCAGAACACTAGATGAAGGACAACCATGCAAGCAAGCCGGGTTCCGCAAAGGATTCAGCACCATCGACCATATCCACACGATAACCAAGCTCATTGAGGTTTCTCGGGAGTTCAAGATGCTGCTACGTCTAACATTCATTGATTTAAAGAAGGCCTTTGATTCTGTTGAGACGGAAGCGGTCATTGAAGCCCTAGCCAATCAGGGCATTCAAACTCAATACATCAGGATCCTCTGTGAGCTGTATTACGGATTCACTACCAGGATCTCACCATTCTACAAAGAAGTAATCATTGATGTCAAGAGAGGGGTTCGGCAGGATGATACCATTTCACCGAAATCTTCAGTGCCGCCCTCGAGAACATCATGCAATGACTGGAATGGGAAGGAATGGGAGTGAAGATACATGGTCGGCAACTATACTACCTCTGCTTTGCTGATGACATCGTTCTAATAACACCAAACATTAGCCAAGCAGCACAAATGCTGGCCGACTTTGACCATGAGTGTGGAAAGGTCAGACTACAGCTGAATCTTGCGAAGACAATGTTTATGAGAAACAGCCTCGTTCCTGATGCCCCATTTGCTCTCAACGAAACGACCATCTCCGAATGCAACAGCTATGTGTACCTAGGTCTAGAAGTCAACATGACAAATGACCTGACACCTGAGCTGCTCAGGAGGAAGAGAGCAGCTTGGAACACCTTCAAGAGCGTCGAAGAAATATCTAAGAGGACGAAGAACCTCTGGCTATGGGCACATCCCTTTGATTCCACTGTTCTTCCTGAATTAACATATGCTTCAGAGACCTGGGCCCTATGCAAACAGGATGAGAACGCTATTTGGGTCTCCCAAAAAGGAATTGAAAGAGCTATGCTTGGAATATCACGTTTCACTCAAATGAGAGAAAGAATCCGGAGTTCTGACCTCCGTTGACGATCAAGAATCAGGGACCCTGTCTCGTTTGCCAAGGTGTCTAAAATCAGATGGGCTGGTCACGTAATGAGATTTAAAGACGACCGCTGTACTAGAGCTGTTACGGACTGGATTCCACGGGATGTCAAAAGACCGTGTGGCCGCCCACCTACCAGATGGTCAGACTTCTTCATTAAGATCATGAACTATCAGTTTGAGGCTCTTCGTGTTCCTAGAGCGAACAGAC